TTATTACAGAAAGTATAGGAAGCAAAAAAAGAGAAGAAAAGAATCTCCAATCCTAATTCCCAGAGACAATACTACATTGTCTGTACCTTTCCAAATATTTTCTGTTATTCTTTAAGGAGTTTCACATATTATTTTTTTAATATTTATTCTTTTTATGTATATGAATGTATTGCCTGCATGTATGTAAGTGCACCTGTGTGATGCAATGCCCATGGAGGCCAGAAGAGGGCATCAGATCCCCTGGAACTGGATTTATAGATGGTTGTTAGCTGCCACATGGGTGCTAGGATTCAAACTTGGGTTCTCTGAAAGAGCAGTCAGTGCTCTTAACCACTGATCCATCTCTTTAGGCCCTCACATATAGGTTTTTTTTTATTAAAGGATCAAATTATACCTAATACTTGGTAGCCTCTGCATTAAATAATTATGACTATATTACCTCAAATTTTGTGAACCTATTTCCATTCGGTGTATTGTTCTTACAATCTGTTTGAAAATAGTGTTTTGTAATGTATTTTTTTTTAATTCCAAAGAAAGGCAATTTTTAACATTTTTTTCAGAAATAACTTGAAGCAGGTTACATTAAAAAATATATACAATGAAGTTTAAGGGGGGGGAGTAGGAATAAGAAATCAAAGACCAGACCAGAGAATTTGCCAACATGGGGTCAACTTTGGTGGAATAATGGAGGTTTCCATTAGCTTTGCTTTCTCTTTTTTTCTTTCTTTCTTTTTTTTTTTTTTTTGGAAAATCCTAACCATTGGGTGAGGGGTTATTTACAGAAGAGTGGGCACCACCCCCCATTTATGGCTGCGCTAGAAAGTACACACTCAAATAAAGATCTTGTGACTTCCCAATAGCCACACAAAATGGCGAGAGGTGCCTCATGGTATTCTCGGACTATATAACCTTAGCCCCACACCCACATGCAGCTAAGGTCAACTGATTGTGTGGGAGGGGTAACTGACTCCCCCATTGACTCCTTGACAGGTGTGGGAAGGAGGTGTAACTATAGCTTGCCAACATAGTGGTTGGAGGACATGGAGGACATTTCCAGGTAACATTCCACCACTTCTTCTAGCTCTTACATTCTTTCCATCAACCTCTCCCACAAAAAGTCCTTGAGCCTTGGAGGGGGTGGTAAGTATGGGATCTGAATGGGTAGGAGGGGAGGGGTAACTGACTCCCCCATTGACTCCTTGACAGGTGTGGGAAGGAGGTGTAACTATAGCTTGCCAGCATAGTGGTTGGAGGACATGGAGGACATTTCCAGGTAACACTCCACCCCTTCTTCTAGCTCTTACATTCTTTCCAACAACCTCTCCCACAAAAAGTCCTTGAGCCTTGGAGGGGGTGGTAAGTATGGGATGCTCTTCCTCCCATTGTGGCAAGGCACTGAGATTTCCGGTCTCTGCATCATCTGTTTTCCATGGACTGTTGGCCCATTTTAGTGGGATTCCATCTATTAAAAGGATTTGGTGCTAGGATCCACAAATGAGGGAGAACATTTTTAGACTGGTCAAATATTCCTGGAATGTTCAATGTTTCACTTCACATAGGATGTGTTCTACCATGCAGTCCTATTTGAAGATTGCCAACTGTACAACATAAAACCCTCGAGGTTCTTTACATTCTGTAGAACGTATCCTATGTGAAGGGAAACATTGAATATTCCAGGGATATTTGATGAGTCTAAATACTGATCAACCTCGACCTAGAGGATTACAAAGAAAAATGTTCCAGGAGACAAGAGGAAATGTTAGTAAAAGTCAAATCTCATATTATAAAAGAAAGAAGAGTAAATAGAAAATAAAATTTGGTTTCTGTGTTTATGCATGATGTGCAAAAAACAGGAAATACACAAAGCCCTGGTGGTCCTGTTTGGTGGACAGAGCTGATATGATTTGGGTTACAGTATGGTTGCACCCTCCAAGGGTTCACATGTTAGAAATTTGGTCCTCAGTTTGATGGTGTAAAATGGAGGTTCTAGGCTTTTGGAGTAACTTCCCTTGGAAGGGATTAAGGTAATCCTGACTTGGATGTCACAAGCTTGCTTCCCAGCTCTCTGTCTTCCTGTTTAGCCACATGCCCACCCCTGTTGTATGTATCCACATCATTCCATGAGATGATGCAGGTAGGGAGTCCCCACCCATGATGTTTGGATTAAGTGAACCATATTCTTTTTTTAAAAAAAAAAAAAGTATTTTATTTATTATTTTTATTTTATGTGTATGAGTATATTGCCTGCATGTAGGTAAGTGCACCCGTGCCATGCAGTGCTCATGGAGGACAAAAGAGGCCATCAGATCTCCTAGAACTGGAGTTATGGACAGTTGTTAGCTGCCATGTGTTGCTGGGATTTAAATCCAGGTCTTCTGCAAGAACAACCAGTGTTCTTAACCCCTGAGCCATCTCTCCAGCCCCATGAACCATATTCTTTACATTTATCTAGTCTTGGAAATCACTTAATAGAAAATAGGTATGAATATAGGAATCATACTCTTTTTTTTTTTTAGGGAATGACATATTTTTTAAAGGGAAGCAAGAAATCTAGGTATTTACATGAAATCATTCAAATTTAAATTGACTTGTAAACTCTGAGTTACTAGGCACAAAGTCTCTGGCTATCACGTAAATCAGATGCAGAATCACCAACATAAAAGCCTTATGGACCCTGATGATTATTTCCAGGTTTTAACTAATTTCATATGATTCAACACTCGTTTGATAGTTTCATGGGATAAATGGGTAGTTATGGATAAACCATTCTCACCCATGTTTACTTACCACTAGAAATAGGCATACTGTTACCAGAAAACTGGAAACTAACCTCTGTCCTTCAATGAGGTGGCCTAAGGTTAGAGGTGCTAACCCCTAGAACACTGTCCCAAAGATATAGACTGGAAAAAAAGATAAGGGAGCTTGAATGGGCCAGAAGTGGAAGGATGTACATTGGAGGGTCAAGGTGGTACACTGAGAGAGCAAAGGACCAGATGCCTTGTGTCTTTGTCAGTTAAGGCTTGTATCAGGGTGGGCATGAAAACTGCACCTGAGGCCAACCAAGGAAGAAATAATTAACTGCATCCTGTCCTGCTATTGTTGGTTTTGTAACTTTGAACCAGAATTGAGAATAGGTGTTTTGAGATGGGAGCTAGTTAAACAAAGGTATTATCACAGATTTCTCTTTTATCTTTTGTTAGCTTTGGGTATCAAAGCTATGCCTTCCAGATAGTTAATTGTATTGACTTTCATCAGTTCATCCTTCAGCTTTGTGAATTTTTTTAGCTGTGGGCCTGCAAGGAACAGGAATCACCTGTCAGCTTTGTAAACTGCTTAAGCCCCGCTCCGCCCCGCTGCTGCTACTCTTTATATTGTTGTAATTTGTGTTTGTAGATTTGTGTGTGCATGCATATTCTCATGTGTGTGCAGTTGTGAATATACATGTGTGTGGATACATGTAAAGGTCAGAGGTTACTATCAAGTGTCTTCCTCCTTGATAACTCTCCACTTTGTTTATTGAGGCAGAGTTTGTGAATTCAGCTAGGCTAGCTTGCGAGCTGTTCCAAGGATCTCTAGTCTCCATCTCCCAAGTGCTGGGATTCCAGGTAGTCGCCATACCCACACTATAACATGGGCATTGGGGGTATAAACTCCAATACTCATGTTTTCCCTTTATCCACTGAGTCATCTCCCCAACCCTTGCAATTACAAGTAATTTGAGGTTGGCTTCCTAAAATGTTAGTGTTTTAGTTTTATACTGCCTGTTTGAGTCTCTCACTCCTCCTCTCAATTCCTTAACTTTAAAAAAACTTTATGCATCTATTTATGTAAATTAAGTGTGTAGGAAATGTCAGTGTATACAAGTGATGGTCAAAGAATAACTTCTGAGAGTCTGTTCTCTCCTTCCCTCATGTGGGTCCCAGAGATCAAACTCAGATATCAATCTCAGTGGCAAGGTTCCATACCTACTGAGCCCTCTCCTTGGCCCAATAGCTCCCTAACTTCTTGACTATCCTAAGACTACCACAACACTTTAAAACTCTGACTAAAAAACCAGCTAAAGACTAATTATATAAACATGATTTGAAGCTATATTTAAAATTCTTTCATAAAATATAAGAAATCGAATTATACCAAATTGTAAATACTTTAATTAGGTGTGTAACTAGAAAATTAAGTATTAGTATAGCAACTGAAATGCTACTTCTTTTTATATTTTCATAACTACTAGATAGGAATTGATTCAAATAGATGACAAATATTAGATTCAAATGTAGACCAAAAGTCACAACCATGTAGAGATCAAATCTACTAAGTAAGGATTATTCTGATCCTGAGATGTTATTGACAGGGCCCCTCTCTTTGCTCTGTGTTTCCTTCTGCCCTTCTGTTCTGCTCCATGAAAGGATCTCTTAGCTGTCACGAGCAGAAAATCTCTGTGGTTACTTCATAGTACCTGTCATTTCTTCTCTCTCTTTCCCCTCCCTGTGCTCCCCTTCTCTTGCCTCTCCTCCCTTCCCACCTATGTTTTTCTCTTTCCCTCTTCTCCCATTTTGCCTTCCTTCCTCCTTCCTGTCTGTCCCCTCTTCCTCTTTCTTGTACCCTTTAAACAAGTATCACCCATATTAAAGGCAGCTGGATAAAAGAATTCTCTCAATCCTTAGAAAATAAAAAACATTCAAAATAAAAAGACTAGAAAATCTGAATGTCCTTGGGTTTGCCATCCTTTTGGTTTTTTTTTCTTGTGTGTGTGTGTGTGTGTGTGTGTGTGTGTGTGTGTGTGTGTGTGTGGTATATTTGTATGTGAGGTGTGCATACACAGGTGTATACATCCATGTGAAGTCCAGCAGTCGACATCAAGTATCTTCCTCAGTCACTTTCCACCTTCTACCTGGAGACGTGGGCTCTCACTAAACCTGGAGCTCAGACTCTCTAGATTTGCTGGCCAGAGAGCCCAGGGTCCTCCATGCCTCTACTGTCCCAGCACTGGGATGACAGAAGCACCACATCTGGATTTATATGGATGCTGAGAATCCACACTCAAGGCCTCATGCTTGCAGACTTTATTACCTGGACCATTTTTCTAGCCCTTCCACCCTTCAGTTTCTAAAATGCATCTAGCCTCGATTGCTCTTTTCCTATCTTCAACAGTAGAAAAAGAAAAAGGAAACTTAAGAAAAGCAACTAATGAAAAACAGCAATTGCCTAAAAATGAGCAGCTTTTATAGCACACATTCCTTATTAAAATAAAATTTAGCTGCAGATTGCATTTGATAAGCACCCACACCTAGAATGGTCTTATTTCTTATTTCAGCTCCATCTGAGTGACTTTTAATATTCTAATCTTTATCTACTTAATCGCACTTTGTTTCTTTACCTGTCATTCAAGCTCCTCCCTCATGTCACCAGAGTCTTGTGGTCATGTGGCAATGTCAGCATGACCTGGACTTCAGCAGCCAGAAGGAGGCTTCCAACTTCTTTCCTCGTCAGACCACCACCTATATCTCACTCCATCTCACAACCCCCACGCACACACACCTACCCACTCAGCTGCTGTTCCTCTAAAAGAAAAGTCCATGACTTGCCTTGCTGAGAGTATAAGATGCCCAGACAGTTCCTAAATTACACAAAGACTCCACAAGCTGTGCAGCCAGACATGGCTCTACCATCCCAGACTGTTTTCTGATTTACCTTCACCCTCTCTGTCCTTAAGGGTTGCATAGAATTCTTTTAGCACAAGTTGATATTGTTAAACTGACTTCAGAAATACAGGCAGAGCAAACATCATATTCCAAGACAAAGGGGGCCCCTAAAGTCTCACCACATAAAACTGACAGTGGAAAGAACCGGTGCAAGTGGTCAGACAACAACCCGAGCTTCCAACACGTATGAAAAGAGAAGACAGCACAGAGAACACAGGACAGTAAATGCTTCCTTTCTTTCCTTTCTTTCATGCCCCTCCCCGACTTCCGACTTCCATCCAACTGGAACGTGCCAAGCTTAGTCTCCCGGGAGGAAGGAATTAAAACATGAGTACCACAGAGGTTCAGTGAGTTGGAAGGCAGACTCTAGCACTTGGCCACTGTGAGCTTAGGCAGTGAGGCCTGAATGAGGTAACTCACAGAAAAGTCATCTCATATACAGGAAACACTCAGCTGATAACTATTATATTTGGCAAGGACAGAACAATGAATAGTAACGGGGTATTGGGGATTCCCCCCCCCAAAAAAAGCTTCTATATTTTATTATTTCCTTTATTATTACTTTATAACTGTATTCACCTCTTTATTTAATAACAGCATGTTAATTTTATACACATTGCATTTCTACTAAATTTTGAAGTTGGAGGAATTTATTTTAGAGGGGGAATTTTTCTCAGAAATCTTATAATATGTCGAGCCATCTTCCCATGTCTCTGGTGGCCTCCACTTGATGGAGCTGTTGTAGTTAGGGGTAAACAGAGCAAGAAATCCTTAGAAATCCTTCAAAAAATGCTTCACAATTCTTTCATAACTAATGAAAATCAGCCCAAGTTCACACTAACTGGCAAGTAAAGCTTAGTCTCCTGGGAGGAATGGATTAAAAGCATGAGTTTTCATTATTCTAGAATAATAAAGAAGTCACATGCATACCTGACCAAAGATCAAGCTAGGAGCATTGCAAAGCCCAGTCACACAAACACTGCAGTCTGAGGAGGAAGAGATAATCAGCAAATGGCCACCTGATTCACAGATCTCCAAGGAACTTATCCGGTCTTCATGAGGCTGAAAGGATCTGATCAGGGCTGGCATCTGGGTGATTTTGTTCTTCATGGAATTAAGACAATACTCCTAAATGAAAAGAACTGCCCAAACTTTATCCAAATATTAAATTAATTATAATGACAGCAGTGTTTTAAAATCCTGATGAGGAAATAGAAAAAAATGCATTTAGAAATGACAGACTGTGATCCATATTCAAAAGAGAGGTCTTGATGAGAGAAGCTAGAAAACAATATTAATATTGGCAAAAGGCTTGAGATCAACAGGACTGACTTGGGAAGAAGGGAGGAAGAAATACACAGAAAGGCAGTTATCTGAGAGACATGCTGTAGCCATGTTACAGATCACCCAATATTACATAATTTTGTAATGTTATTTAGAAAATTGTGTAGGTAATCAGTGATTTTTAAACCAATTCAGGATGAGGATAATGTCAGATGAAGGACAGGCAAACTAGATTACATTTACATTTTAATTTCAAATAAGGCATATCTGGTTATTTATATCTGAACAGTGCTAGGGTAAAGTACTGATAAAATTGCATCAGGAAAGTGACTTGACTATATATTAATAGGCCTTCAAAACTGAGAAAAATCTTTTTCTCCATCAATTATTTAAAAGAAGTCTCTGCTCAAAACATGTAAATGCTTTCTTTAAAATACTTGAGACAGAATATTTCTTCCTTTATCTAGGAAACACACAAGTTGTGATTTACATGGCCAGAGTGTTATAATCAGGTATTTACTATGGTCAAAAATAATGCTGATGCTGGGAGGATCTTTTCAGTTTACCTCTATGTTCCAGATTTTCAACCATCCTTCAGGATCTCCTGTGACTAGGTATCGATTCATTTTATCAATAGACATAGTAATGGATCCAACTCCAGCATGAGCCAAAAATTCAGCTACGAGTTCTTTCTTCAGTGTGTCCCAGAACCTGACATAACCAGATCCTCCACATGACACCAGGTTAGCACCTCCTAGTAAAGGAAATCAAATTAGGAAATTCTACCCAGAAATGCCCAAAGTGGCTTCTTCCAGTGGCTTGCCCTGTGGAGAGCATATGATACTGGAGAGGCAAATAGAACAGTGATCTATTCCCAACATCACTCTGATTCTCTAAGTTATAAAACACAGATGCTCTTACATCAACCTTGCTGATGGCATTAAGAAGAATTAATATTGATTATTAATGAGCTAGGTTATATAAAATATTCCATTAAGTTTAGTTTCCATTCCTTAACACAATGATGCTGTTTGCATTTTAACTTAGGAAGAACTAATTTGTTTCTTCTAATAAACATAAAATACTAATATTAACATAATGATAATGTTATATATATATTTATATATATAACTTGGTTATCCTAATAATCCATTGGACATGTACATAGCTGTAAAAGTCCTCATACATAGACCTAGATGCATACCTGTGATTAGAGCATGATAGCTATTGATGTCTCTATTTAGAAGTGCACCATAGATTCTATTTAAGAGCTTGTTTTTAATTTTTCATCAGGAATTTATTGTATTTATGACACACATTTGTATTAACAGATCTTGAAATAACCTTTTTCACTTTCTACTCTTATATGCTTTGCAAAAGCACTTTATCTAAATTCTTCTGTGGCAAAGTTCTTCTTATTTGATAAATCTCTAAATGACTTCCAATTTATTTTACAAATATGCTGGTGATTAACAATCATATCTGTGTAATGTAGAAGTAATAGCATGTCTCCACTTGAATGGAAACAATTTAGATATAAGAATTAGCATTGAAAAAATGAGTGTAATTTTAGGATAATGGTTTATATTGTGAGTATAAATGTGTTCTACAGAATACAAAGCTTTATCATCTGTTTGAAGTCCATTTTAAATACTATGTAAGGTTTTTGAAACTATAGGAGGTATAACTTCACTGATGGTAAAATTTTTATAAAAATATCATACAGATTTTCCATTTGCAAATCGAATGTAAGAAAGTGATTATTGCACAAAACATGGTTGAAATGTTCATTTCTTTTTCCAAATGTAATACACAGGTTTAGATCCCAATTGTTATAGAAAAATTAACTATAATTCCTAATTGAGATGAAATTCCAAAGAATATGCCTATTCTCAAGAGCATATTTTTTGAGGGGAGATGGGAAGATACGTAGGTTGCATCTATACCGTGTTTCAAAATTAGGCAAATGGTTGTCTATAATAATACCCACTCACTACAATAAGTCAAATGATGCCACCAAAGTATCTCTCACAACAAAAGACTTAACCAGGTCTGACTTATTGTAGGAAGTATCTACACCTGGTAAATACACTCAGACCACTTCAAAACAATTTTCAAGACAGAATCAGGCAGCTGAGATTAGCAGTTATTTCAAATTCTGCCATTGCCTCCAATCTCCAAGTTCCTCTTCATTTTCCCCTAGATATTTGATGCTGGTACAGTCATAGATTCTATTTCTATATGGACTTAAGTATTGACTTGTACTTGGAGCATGTACCCAGCTGTACCCTCTGACCTTCTAAAATACCTACATGTCATGACTGAGACACTGATATCAGTTGTTTCCCATATCAAATATTTGATGGAATTTTCCTCAGTATCATTTCAGGATATACAGCACCATGTAAAATATTATGCAGATCCATTTCCCACCATTCCCAACCCGAGCTGTCCATGCCAATGTCCTTGGCCTTTCACAACCCATGGCAAACTTAATAGCTATGTAAAGTCTAACACCTAGATAAAAATAGATTGAACTCTCTATTGCTCCCTTTCCAAAATACAGAAAGATAAAATATAACTAAATATATGTAAATATATTACCTGTTATTGCAGAGATTTTTCTTGCTTCAAGGAAGCAAAGCCTCATAACAGCATTATTACCCTCTGTGTCAATCTCAAAACTATGGGCAGCCAGGACAGTCTGGTCTGCTGGGGAGTGAGTTGGGCATCCCCTATCTGCACTGAGCTTTCGGGCTTTTGGATCTGTAATAAAGACAAAGTTGGGGGTCTTAATGAAGAGAAATATCTGTTTTTTAATCTAATACCTATGACCAACAACAGACCTTCTTCCATCCCAGTCTCAGATGAGATGACACCATCAAGTCTCACAATACACACTGAATCAACACTAGCTCTCACCCCAACTTGAAAGATTGTTTGATTTCATCTTTGCTTTGCATATTCCATGCACTTACTGTGTTATTCAATGACACAAATTAATAAGAACTTTATATCAGAGTCACTGCTAATTTCACCAGATCTCAGTACATTCAAGACAAATGTGACTTTAATGCCCAAGAACTTCTGGCTTCTTAATCATTAATGCTAATCCTGAAATCAGTGTAATGAATATGAAATCTAATGGCTATACATACACTTGAATAAATTTTTAGCAAGTCTATTTGTAAGTGGGTTACTCTGGAGAGGACATTCTTAATATCAGTTCAATTATATACTTCAGACCACAGTAATAAAAATTGAGAATGTTTACCTCATAATATATGAATAGTCTTCAAATAGTTTTGAAAAATCTCTGCAGAGATATCTTCAAATTTTCAAATCAAGAAATATAGCAATGCTAGGGATGGGGAGATGACTCAGCTGGTAAAGTGCTTGCCACACTGGCAGGAGAACCTGTGTTCCATCTGCAGAACCCACTTAAAAATGCAGGATATTGTGATGTGCATTTGTATTCCCAATGTTTGGAAGGTAGAGACAGGGTCCCTGGGGTTCACTGGCCAGCCAGCCTAGTCTGTATAAAAACAACTCCATGATGATGAGAGGCCTTGGCTCAAGCAACAACAAGAAAAAAAATCACGATGGTGGGCACCAGAGAAATGACAGATGAGGTTGTCCTCTGGCCTCCACATGTTTATGCATAAATGTGCACATGAACCTGCACACACAAACACATACACCAAAAAAAAAAAAGATATATAACAGAGTCCTTTATGTCTTTTAGACAGTTGGCTTTTTTTTCTCTTATGTATTTCTGTATGTATGGAATGGCAGCCACAGTAAAGACATTCTGAAATTGTGCTGTCTTATAGGCCAGGGAAAGAGAAAGAGGCCGAATTCCACCATTTCCACAGAGGGTTAAGATGAATCCTAATGGTTAGTTCTTTGTACATAAAGCAGGTCAGAGCTTTGTGTCTGCAGCCAAGTAATCCCTCAAACTCTTAAATTGTTAAATTGGTTTTCCTAATCCCAATAAATCACTTCCTCAGCTTTTTACCCACATGCGCGCACGCGCGCACACACACACACACACACACACGCACACACACACGCGTGCGCGCAAAACCACTGTATTTGATAGCCAGGTTTTTTTTTTTCTTAAGGTTGAATTTATTCTCTGTGAGCTTATCCAATTGAGACAGCAGAACCCGGCTCGGCCATAGGGAACGATATATTCATTATCCAGAGAAATTAGTCTAAGGAAAAACCTTTAGTTTCTAAGGAAACTAATATAAAGCATGAAAGACAATTGTCAAGACATTTTACTTAAGAATAAAATATTCATGTGCTCTGCTAACTGCCATAAAATACAATATACTCCTGTCTAATGCTCCTTGTGGGTTTCTAGAGGAATAATTTAAGATTTCCAGGTGGCATAATATTTAATACAAGCACCAGACTGAGGCTGAACATCAAATCAAGTGAACACAGTTCCCATTATTTTACCAAGGAATACCCAAGATTCACTCAAAGGCAATTTGGCAAGTTTTATTGACTAAATCTAAACTAGGTAAAAGTGAGAGGCCTGCTCCCTGCTGTCAGCAATACAGAAATGCTGATGTAGCACCACAGGGAGAAGAAATGGCCTGTGTGGTGAATTTGCTAGGCCAAGTCAATCTCAAAGTTCTTCCTGTCTTTTATCCCACAGGGTCTTCCTGCAGCCCCAGTTGGTAGAACTCACGCTATAGACCAGGCTGGCTTCAAACCAAAGAGATCTGCTTGCCTCTGCCTCCCAAGTGTTGGAATTAAAGGTGTGAGCCACCACACCCAGCTCAAGGTTCTTCTTACACACTTTGATGAGACAACATATTGCCAGTCCTTCTCTTGACCAATCGTGTATAATTTAGGTATATGCTGCATCAGGTACATGCATATAGAGCCAGCCCTACTGTGCTCTGACTCAGCGCGTTATTTTGTTTTCAAACCTGCACTTACCTAATTTGGATGTCAGCTGCCTCTGGTAATCAGGATGAAGGACATGGTGAGCAATTTCTGTACTGTTGTTCCACAGAATAATTTCCCCATCATAGCTCCCTGCAGGAACCAGGTTAAAGAGCATAAATTACCAGAAGATTGGACAGAAATACACACAAAAAGCAACTAAAGGCCATTATCAATGTTTCTTATGTACAATCTTGTGCATAGCAGACATTCTGTAATTTTGGTGACATGAGTAATAATAATAATAATAATAATAATAATAATAATACCTTGTATTTCATTAACTTTAGACTTTCAATATTCAAAAAACAACCTGTGCAGGTGGATATAAATTGGTGTTATCTCCATTTATTTTAGGCTAATAAATCATTCAGGATAAAAGCTCTGAATTTAAACAATTTGAGTTTCAGTCCAAGTTGTGACACTTACTAGTCGCATAGCCTTATACATGATATTTAACTCAGCTTGATGCCAAAATTTCTTCACTGGCAGAACTGTGTTAATCATTGTACTTATCTCAGAGTGTTTTAATAAAGTGCTAAGCACAATGCAGGTACTAAAAAGATGCTAATTAGCACCATGTGCCTTCATTGTTCAGGCCTCTTAGATTGCTGTTCCCCATGCTTTTTATATGTACCAGTTCTTTGAATTCTTCCTCTCCCAAATTCTTTCTGAAATACTTTCTCTAATCCTACAATTCTCCCTACAGAAAATATTTGCTACCACTCTTCATGATGAACAGAGACAAGTTCAAAGAAAGTAAGCGTGACCCAGTCTGTTCTGTGCAGGAATAACACAGCAATGTCGAGATAGCAAACTCGGCGACCACTGAGGACATCCCACTACTGAGCAGAGGGACAAGGATAATGGAGTGCACAGGGAAGAGCCGTTGGGGGGGGATGTATATATGGTGACTTTGTAGGATTTGGGGAGAGGGAAGAGAAAAGCAAACTAAACGCTGTGCTGTCCTGGAGAGGGCAATCTGTATAACTCAGAAGCTGGGTAAGGGTGATGGATTTCAGCTGCATGGTGGATCTCTTGTCCTCTATGATTCCAAAATGCTCTATGAACACAATGCTTGACTGAATGTTTTCACAGTAGAAGTGAGGACATGAGAGTGAATGAAGAGATTAGGACATGTTAACACGTTGTCTGAGGTAGAGATGTCAAAGGTTAATGTTTCCATTAATAAGCATCTGAGTGTCACCAACTTGTGACTCATACCAACAGTCCCAATCTTGGTCTTGAAAAATAGACCCCAAAATGTTAGTATTTGTTGAGCTTACTGTGTGCCAAGCACCATGTTAAAATGTTATTCAGTTGGTTTGTACTTTAAAATAAAAATATATACAAAGTCATTTTTAGCCAAAGAAAACTATGATTTAAAATTTAAATAACTCACGACATCATGCAGTAGCAAAGTAGTGAATTTGGGTTGTGAAACCACAGAGACAGCCTGGGAGTAGGTGGTCCTGACTACTAGTGTGTCACCATGGAAGTGAGAAACTAACGGAGCCTTAGGACTGCTTCTTTTGGAAGTCTGTTCATTTTTCAGTTGAGGAAAGCCTTTCTCAAAAGTGGCTCCAACCAACTAAACTGTCTCTAAGCCAATAACAAGCGAAGACTCAACTTACCTGTAGCAAGAGTGTGTGGAGGTAAAAAAGCAGCACACAAGATGTCCTCATGGTGACGGACTCCCCCTTTCCATTCTTCAGACTGGATCAAAAATTGATTGAAGTTCTGGGGTCGAAACACAGTAACAGCTCTACAAAAAGGATATAGAATTTAGCTATGAATATAAAATTGATTTTGATACTGAGTAGTCATTATCCACTACAGTGGTGAGATTGGAGAAAACTAAAACACCATGTGGCCCCAAATCTTATCACTACCTATCACCCATAATAAAGGGAACTTCAAACTGAACTTCCTTTTAAATTCTCACACTTAATTCTCTGGTAAATTATGAATACTTAATGTGAGGAGGCTAATTATCCCTTCTCAATCATTAAAAGCAAAAATGCATCCATTTATAGATTCATTGTGTCTTTAAGACCCTAAAGCCAAGCTTCTTCACACATATACCAGGAAACCATTGAGTTTTATGGCAATAATAGTGAAAAGTGGGGTGGATCTACAAACACTGTCAGTAGCTTAAGTGAAACCAAAAGAGTATCTATCATCAAAGTTTCTTAGGCATTAACATATGACTATTCTTGGAACTTGCCACTTCAAAGAAATATGACACCGGGCAAATGCATTTTGAACAGAAATAATCCTTTTAGAGTACACAACATCCTGGGGCACTGCTGACAAATTTGAGCACAGACCAGACTGGGGATGGAATTAACTGTCTGGTACCTAGGAGGGAATGAAGGAACATAGAAATCAGATTGTGGGAGAGGCAACTGATGCCACCGTATTTCCACTTAGTGGCTTGAGCCCTGGTTGTCAGCCAGTGCTAAGCTTCCCCTTCCATTCATGATCAATCACACCTCAAATAACCATTTGTGATCATAGCTCGAGCCTTAATTTTATCTTCCCTTCCCTGAGTTGTGTTTCTTTTTCTACCACTCTAAAGGCCTCTCACTTGTCCTGCTGGAGGAGGGAGCTTTCTTTCCCTCCTTGAAACCTTCTTGTTTCTGGTTTGTAATCTACATTATACTAGTAAATTGTCATGTTTTGTTTGAGCTCACTCCAAGCTGATTTGTTTCAAAGTATCCTCCAAGGCTCATTGTCCAGGGATGGGCTGCCTGCCCCCCAACTCTGTAACACAGAGAGAACAGCAAAACAGCCTAAGAATAAAAATGTCACATCCTTGAAAACAGATAGAAGCTAAACCACTTCTAGCAGATGTTACTATTGTTTATTCCAGAGAGAAGGTGTGAGTTCAGCCATGGAAACCACATCCATAGAGAGAAAGATCAATTGGAAATTCCAACTACTGCTTCAACTTCCCCAGTCAATTTCTGCTGAATATTTTGAGCATCCGTTTTTATCATCCATCTATCTATCTATCTATCTATCTATCTATCTATCTATCTATCTATCTATCTATCATCTATCTATTTTTCTTTCTTACTATCTATCTTTCTATCTATCATCATCTACCTACCTATCATCTTTCATTTCTCATCTGTCTATTGCTGGCTGTTACTCAAAACTGAAGGTATGATTGTCCTAGATCATTCTTCATAGCATACGGAGCACAGTTCTTGCTTCTCTCCTGCCTGCTGTATTATTATTTTCCTAGTCTCAATTCCCCCCTTTCTTTCACTCTTTTGCGATGAGCATTCTTCATAGCCATTGCTCCCTTGCTTTATATTCACTCAAATTTCCTTAATCAGAGGTCTCATATGCCACCATGAGTTTCAATCTCAGGTTGATACAAATGCTTCTTCTATTGATCTTCATCTGTAACCTTCACCAGTATTAAGTGGTTTCATTTGCCAGTTGGCAGTTCCATATATGTACTTCTTCTATTGCTAACAGATCTTAATGCTTGAAAAACAAAACCGCCATCTTTCTTCCACACTAGCCCTCTGTCCTGAATTCCCGAATTTGGTTCATAGACCAGCATTACAGCCTCGCCTCTGTCATTCTCTTCCCTAGTCAAGTTCAATGCTGATGTATTACATCTGCCATATATAACATTTACGTTCCTTCCTTTCCATTTTAAACAGTCAGCTACATCTCCCTGGGTCAGTGCTCTCCATTCAGCTGATCAGCAATTATAAGAAGCTCCTAACCAGTCTTACTGCCACTAGTCTGCTCTCCTGTGAGAAATCCTGAATCATGCCATGAGATCTACCATTGCATTCTGGAGTGTTTCCATTCATTCTGCAAGCATTCCAAGCTCCTCTGTAGCAGTCCCTACAGGTTTAAGGCTCTGAGCACAAAATGAAGAAAACACTAAGTGACATGTGGAAAGTGCTAAGGTAGTACTGATTAACCACTTTCGAAGTCCAGAGCAGAAATCACTGCAGGCTGGTTGAGGGCTGTTATTTAAAATGGGCCATAGATGATGGTAGGACTTGGGAGATGGAAGCACAGCAGGCAGGGGAGGAAGGATAATGACAGACAAGGCTAGGGCCCTACTTGAAAATATTTAGTGAATTTCCATTTCCTAAATAATAAAATCTAAATGTGTATTTTTTCAAAATCCAATAATATATAGATTTAATCTCTGTCATTAGAATTATTTCTCCCTATTCTTCTATCTTCGCCTTTCAAAGGCATACATAAATTCTCAATGAAATATTGACCAGAGCCACTAGAAGCAATAGTGTACAGTTTTATGTAGAATGTTAGAGAAATAGATTTCACTGAAATAGATATTACGTAATGAAATATAATACAGCTTTAATCTAAACTATGCAAACAGAATATGGGTTTCAAATCTACTTCTGTCTTGCAGTGATGCTAAGAACTGTCAGGTTAATTTCATGAGGCGCACCATCTTGCCTAAATCATATTCTTTTCATTCTCTAAGCAGCCTAGACATCTCCAGCTACTTTGTTTTCCTTTGTGGTATGGTCTCTTCCTCTATGGGCTTCTTTTCACACGCAGCCCCACATGTATCTATCCATACAGCATCCTCTCAGGCCCCTCATATTCCAGAGGCTTCTATAACAACTAGCAGGTGAGGAAATAATTCTCTTCTAACCTCTTAAACCATTCACTTACAATATTTAGTAGTATATCTTATAGATCCTTTGATTTTTAAAAATAAGTTACCAGGGATCTTCGTTTCTTGAAGTGCATGAGGGAAAACTATCTGCCTGTGGGCCACTTCCTTGAGCAGAACTTCCATTACCATTCCATATCAGTGCTCTCCCTTGAGTCTCTCACCCCTCACTGATTCATTTTCCTTTGTACTATTTATCATCAGATGGCATTGTATTCTGTATTTAGTGTTTGTTATTTTCTGTCTCTTTTTCCATAGAGTAGGCTCTAGGAAAGTCAGAACTTTTCCTCCTATCTCCTCAACCCTAGAATAATGCCTCATATATAACAGACAATAAGCAAGTATTTGTGAAGCAAGTATTTTTCAAAATAATTATTGTAATATGAATTTAATTAATTGGAACTTAGAAAGACACTATACATAATTCAAAGCTCTGATATTACAGTATAATCTCATCATCTCTATATAAATACATATATTTCTAAATTTCTCTATCTGCCAGTAAATTTGGGTGAAGAAATTATGCTTTGGAGAGTGTGAATGAGGAAAGACAGTGAGAGAACACTCAAGCAAAATTTCAATGTCAAATGTCTTTTTCTGCCAAAATGCCCATATTAAATGGATGAAGATTATATATTCAGGGAACACCACCCAAAGCACAAAGTGCTTTTCACAGTCTGCTACAAAAAGTAGCCCTTATGACATTTGACCTTGTGTGTCAAAACATTGAAAAAGTAATTACCTGGAACCTTCCCTTAAAACCTCACCTGAAACTTTGATTGGAATTGACAGTTGTCCTTAAAATACATTAAAAAATCCACACTCTAGTTTGCACCTTTTCCATTCCAAAGACAACTTTAGGTTTGCCCTTTTGTCAAAAGTAAAATTAAAGTTAAGAATGAGCCAATTTTCAGGCCATTTGAAGAGTCAGAGACTTGTTCTCTCTGTACTGAAGAAGTTTCCTAGCTCTGTTGAACCCTGTATAGATAAAATCCTGACAGCATTGCCCTGAATCATTGTGTCATATTATAAAGAGGCTCATTTTCTGATTCAGTATTTATATATAAAAACCAAATCTTTGACAATAAAATCTGTTTATCTATAATCAGTCTCTTTTCTAGGATAAATGAGTTAGAAAAATGTCTTGTTTTTGAGCAAAATTTCATCATGTAGAAATTGTTATGCAACGAATGATAGAACATTATCAACTATCTGTTACTTCAGAGGTTAATTATCGTTGTTCCAATTATTGTAAGTCTTTTTAATTCCCTTTAATTCATGGCTTTTTAGGCTAATAATGAGTATATTGTAAGCATACAATTAATTCATAATCATTTTGTTTTGATTTGTTCACCAGTTTTCTTCTTCCTAAAATTCATGAGTTCAATTTTTAAACATTTGAGGTAATTACAAAATCAGATTTAGGAATACTGTGAATTTTAAATATCCTTATCTTCTTTTTAGTTCCAACATGGAAAATTTAAAATAAATCACAACTTTAGACCTTTCCACTCTGATTCTTAACCCAGTAATAGAAATTAATTGAGCCTCATGGGGCTATAGTTCCTTAATAAGGCAATTATTAAGAACTTAATATCTTTTATTAGATAAGTTTTATTCCTGAGCAACTTCCAATCCTTAAAGTCATTTCATTTAGAAAATACTTTTTAAAAATCCAATTAAGCCTATGTAAACTGATTTAATTTCTGAACTGTGTATAGAAGTTGAATATGAAATTGCCAAGGGAAAATGGGGAAAATAAAATTATATAAAGAACTATTTATGGGGCTGGAGAGATGGTTCAGCAGTTAAGAGCAATGACTGCTCTTGCTGAGAACCTGGGTTCAATTACCAACACCCACATGGGCACTAACAATCATCCAGTAACTCCAGTTCCAGGGGCTCTGATGCCCTCTTCTGACATCCAAGGGCACTGCACAACATGAGTACACTTACACACATGCAGGCAATATACTCACATAAAATAAAAATGATAAATAAAATAGTTTTTTTAAGAAATGAACTATTTACTGAGTGCCTATTTTTCACAGAGCTCCATGAAGAATACACTAACAATA